GCAGTGCCCCTGTACCCTCAGTAGTCTAAAATAGTACCTAGTGTATATTAAAGTGTTTGATTGGAGTTACCAGTTCCATATACTTGGGATGGGTGAGCACGGTGGTCCCAAAGTCAATGCTTCCATAGACGACACTTTGTTCCTGTTCCTTCTCCAATATCCCAGGTATGATGGACTTTACAGCTACCCCGTTCCTTCAGAAGTCTAATATAGTACCTAGTCTATAATATAGTGTTTGATAGGACTTACCAGCTCCATATACTTGGGATGAGTAAGCACGGTAGTCCCGAAGTCGATGCTTCCATAGACGACACTTTGTTCCTGTTCCTTCTCCAATATTCCCGGTATGATGGACTGCGCAGTGACCCTATATCCTCGGTAGTCTATTACAATAGTACCTAGTGTAATATAGTGTGTGATAGGACTTACCAGCTCCATATACTTGGGATGAGTAAGCACGGTAGTCGCGAAGTCGATGCTTCCATAGACGACACTTTGTTCCTGTTCCTTCTCCAATATTCCTGGTATGATGGACTGCGCGGTGACCCAGTACCCTCAGAAGTCTACTACAATAGTTCCCAACGTTTTATTGAACTTACAAGTTCCATATACTTGGGATGAGTAAGCACAGTGGTCCCGAAGTCGATGCTTCCATAGACGACACTTTGCTCCTGCTCCTTCTCCAATATTCCTGGTATGATGGACTGCGCAGTGACCCTGTATCGTCAGTAGTCTACTACAATAGTACCTAGTGTATAATATTATTATTAATAATATCAGGGTTATTTTTTAGTCAGTGCGCAAACTTTGCAGGATGTTTCTACTCGTGATTCTGAACAACTTTTACTATGGGGCCACCTGCAAAAACTAAAAAAAAAATTTGGTTGTTCCATACATTTTTGCCGAGTATGTATGAATTTTGCTATGGAACATCCAATTTTTTTTTGTGAATTCGCAGGTGGTCCCATAATAAAAGTTGTTCAGAATCACGAGTAGAAACACTCTGCAAAGTTTGCGCACTGACTAAAAAATAACCCAGTATAGTGTTTGATGTGACTTACAAGCTCCATATACTTGGGATGGGTAAGCACGGTGGTCCCGAAGTCGATGCTTCCATAGACAACACTTTGCTCTTGTTCCTTCTCCAATATTCCTGGTATGATGGACTGCGCAGTGACCCTGTATCCTCAGTAGTCTTCTACAATAGTACCTAGTATATAATATAGTGTTTGATTTGACTTACCAGCTCCATATACTTGGGATGAGTGAGCACGGTAGTCCCGAAGTCGATGCTTCCATAGACGACACTCTGCTCCTGTTCCTTCTCCAATATTCCTGGTATGATGGACTGCGCAGTGACCTTGTATCCTCAGTAGTCTAAAATAGTACCTAGTGTGTAATATATAGTGTTTGATGTGACTTACCAGCTCCATATACTTGGGATGAGTAAGCACGGTGGTCACGAAGTCGATGCTTCCATAGACGACACTTTGTTCTTGTTCCTTCTCTAGAATTCCCGGTATGATGGACTGCGCAGTGACTTTGTATCCTCAGTAGTCTACTACAATAGTACTTAGTCTTTAATATAGTGTTTGATAGGACTTACCAGTTCCATATACTTGGGATGAGTAAGCACGGTAGTCCCGAAGTCGATGCTTCCATACACGACACTTTGTTCCTGCTCCTTCTCCAATATTCCTGGTATGATGGACTTTACACCAACATTGTATCCTCACTAGTCTACTACAATAGTACCTAGTGTTTAATAGGACTTAAGAGCTCCATATACTTGGGATGAGTAAGCACGGTAGTTCCGAAGTCGATGCTTCCATACACAACACTTTGTTCCTGTTCCTTCTCTAATATCCCGGGTATGATGGACTGCGCAGTGACTTTGTATCCTCAGTAGTCTACTACAATAGTACCTAGTTTATAATATAGTGTTTGATGTGACTTACCAACTCCATATACTTGGGATGAGTGAGCACGGTAGTCCCGAAGTCGATGCTTCCATACACGACACTTTGTTCCTGTTCCTTCTCTAATATCCCGGGTATGATGGACTGCGCAGTGACTTTGTATCCTCAGTAGTCTACTACAATAGTACCTAGTTTATAATATAGTGTTTGATGTGACTTACCAACTCCATATACTTGGGATGAGTGAGCACGGTAGTCCCGAAGTCGATGCTTCCATAGACAACACTTTGTTCTTGTTCCTTCTCCAATATCCCGGGTATGATGGACTTTACAGCAACCCTGTATCCTCAGTAGTCTAAAATAGTACCTAGTCTATATTATAGTGTTTGATAGGACTTACCAGTTCCATATACTTGGGATGCGTAAGCACGGTAGTCCCGAAGTCGATGCTTCCATAGACGACACTTTGCTCCTGTTCCTTCTCCAATATCCCCGGTATGATGGACTGCGCGGTGACGCGGTACCCTCGGTAGTCTACTACAATAGTACTCAAAGTATAGTATAGTGTTTGATGTGACTTACCAGCTCCATATACTTGGGATGCGTAAGCACGGTAGTCCCGAAGTCGATGCTTCCATAGACGACACTTTGTTCCTGTTCCTTCTCCAATATCCCCGGTATGATGGACTGCGCAGTGACCCTGTATCCTCAGTAGTCTACTACAATAGTACTCAAAGTATAGTATAGTGTTTGATGTGACTTACCAGCTCCATATACTTGGGATGAGTAAGCACGGTAGTCCCGAAGTCGATGCTTCCATAGACGACACTTTGCTCCTGTTCCTTCTCCAATATCCCCGGTATGATGGACTGCGCGGTGACGCGGTACCCTCGGTAGTCTACTACAATAGTACTCAAAGTATAGTATAGTGTTTGATGTGACTTACCAGCTCCATATACTTGGGATGAGTAAGCACGGTAGTCCCGAAGTCGATGCTTCCATAGACGACACTTTGTTCCTGCTCCTTCTCCAGGATCCCTGGTATGATGGACTGGGCGGTGACTCTGTACCCGCGGTAGTCGACGACGACGGTGCCGAGCGTGTGCAGGCCGGGCGTGTCCACCGCGCTGTATACGCGCACGCCTTGCAGATCGTTGCGCTGTAGACAAAATCGCATAGTAAGAGATTCAGATTTTTACTATGGGACAAATTATGACAGCAGCGAAAGAAATAGAAACTTATTAGTGCCATCGCGCATCTAGCGATTTTTAACGTAAATGAAGGAAAAAGTAATTAGGTTAACAGTAATTGGAATATGAAATCAATATTCGAACCAGACCCTGGTACAAAGTGTCGCAACGGTTTATGAGCGCTCGGCCAAAGTGGAGGGGATGTTTGCGCAGGTGTACACTCGCGCACAAAAATGTGTGTGTATACCCAAATTTTTTACAATATTAAAGCCATACGCAACGAACACCAGTGCGTATTAAAAATAGTCGCTTAGGTTAGTTTAAAAGCTTAAATTATAAGATCCTACTAATATTATAAATGCGAAAGTTTGTCGTGCATATAGTAAATATATATTATAAAGGGAAGGGCAAATAAAACAAATGTAGGTATTTATATTCATATTATAATAGTGATACCCCTTCCATTAACTCATCATCGCTTGACAAAGTTTCTGAAGCAATTGTTGGTGGTAAGGTGTAACCGCCGGTACTCGTAGAAGGCACTTCATCATCATTTTCATATAACTCATCGTCATCATCACTATGTTATAATATAAGTTCTTCTGTTTCTTTTTTAATATGATTGTTTTCATCATACACCATTTTTCTGGCCTGCCGGATCAATATTTTTTTCTTTGGCATTTTTACCAACACCGCACAACAAAACAACAACAATAAAAACAAAAGATTTAATAAACAAAAATGAACAGATAACAAAAATCAACAAAATAAATATTCGACAAAAAAGTAACTGTGCGCAAGTGTACTTCAGGGACGCGAGACGTCAGCCGAAGCGCGGGAATAGCACGTGACTGATTAAACCAATAGACTGCGTTGGCGCGCTACCTCCCGCGTCGCGCCTCAGTCCCCCCGCCAAACAGACCCAAAATATGAATACTGCACATTCAAGGTCAGCGCTCATAAACCGTTGCGATACTTGTAGCTGGGTTGGCAGAGCTTTAGAACTGTATCCCAAGGACCTGAGTTTATGTTTTAAATTTTCGATTACATTGATTAGAGAGAGACACATATTAAATAGAGTCAGAGGTATAATCAATATAATATTGACGATGTGGGGACTTACAGGTGCAACAAAAGCGGCTGCATCGCCACTAAGATCCTTGTAATGATCGCGGACGTCAAAACCAAGCGAGAAGAAGATATTGTTCCAAATGAACATCTGCATCTTAGGCTCAAGACTGCAAATGGTGGGTTGCTGTATCTTTGTTCTAACCACTTACCGGGGCAACAAAAGCCGCTGCATCACCACCAAGATCCTTGTAATTATCGCGGACGTCAAAACCAAGCGAGAAGAAGATATTGTTCCAAATGAACATCTGCATCTTAGGCACAAGACAGCGAATGTTGGGTTGCTTGTGTCTTTTTTATTATAACCACTTACCGGAGCAACAAAAGCGGCCGCATCGCCACCAAGATCCTTGTAATGGTCGCGAACATCGAAACCAAGCGAGAAGAAGATATTGTTCCATATGAACATCTGCATCTTAGGTTCTTCTCCAGGGTTGATGGCCATTACGTTTCCATCTACAACAGCCATCGCGCCGCGAGTAGCAGCCGCCACGAAGTCGCTGTGCACCTGCGAAATTATTCGTAAATTAGAAATCAAACTGAAAAAACTATAAATTACGGTAAAAGATTCATGTCGCATTTGATTAATCAAAATCAGATCAACATACATTTGTCTTAGAATGTACTTAAGGATAGGAAATATGAATTGAAAAATTGAAAAATTTATGAGCTACCGCCGGGACTTGAACCCAGGACCGTGGGGTACCACTTTGCCAACTGAGCTATGAGCGCCTAGGTTGAAAGATTCATCAGGGTCCCCTAGGCGCCAGTAGCTCAATTGGCAGAGCGGTGGGACGGTACCCCACGGTCCCGGGTTCAAGTCCCGGCTGTCGCTAATGAGTTTTTAATTTTTTTATTTATGAGAATAATATTGCACTGTGAGTGCATTAGAAATCCCAATACATATTGCTTACTAGGTACTTAAAGATGTTGTTTGTAATTTAAATGCAATGATTTGTTAGAAGCTTTTGACTCGCTTGACCATGACGTTTTTTTACACGAATTCATATTGCTGGTAGTAATTATAAATGAATAGGTACTAGATTGTTGCTATTTTTATAAGCGCAATAAATTACAGAAAATAGTTGTTCAAATAACATTATATAAAAAAAAAACACTGTCTTATAATTCAAGGCAGTATACTTGGACTATTACTATTTATAATGTACGCTGTCTTATTCCTTACGAAAAACTGAAGCTATAAGTTATCTATAAAACTTACCTTGAAGATAGCCCGTTCACGTAGCAACCTCTCTGGCAGAGTAGCTCTGGGCAGCTCCCGTGTGGTTTGCAGCTCTTCGTTCCAGTCGCGGGTTTGGCCAGGGATGTGCTCTTCGTAGCCCAGCTTCGATGAGAACGCTATGGAAAATAGAAAAACTTCGGTTAATTTCTGTATAATAAAGATATTCTTAAATATTGTAAAAACTTGTGTCTTTATTTTACTCTCTAGACAGTTCCACGAGTTTTTCTTAGCTAGACACCGTTTTATCGGACAAGGACTTTTATTTCTTCTATATTGTTGTTACAATATTAATTTTGCTAGGACAAAAATCTTACTGCAAGTACATGCACCCGTCATAAAAAAGGGTTCATCGGGGTGTTAGATAACTCGGTGAACCACTCGAAACGAAGAAGAAGTGACACATTCTACGTTGTAACAAAACGTTCAATCAAAATAAAAATTCAGAACAAAATTAAAATTTTTCATGTTAGACTGCTAAAGAACTTCCTGCCTGCGGATCTGTTTCCGGAACGTAAGGGCCCTTTTCCTGTCATGCGTATTTTCGCACGCGCGCGGATCTGGTCCGCATGCGGATGATAGCACGCTCCTGGTCACAGCAGCCAATCCGCGTTCCGCGCGCGTGCTACCCGCATGATAGGAAAAACATGTATCAAAGGATGAGATGCGTGCGGCCCGCATGCAGACCAGATCCGCGCGCGTGCGAAAATACGCATGACAGGAAAAGGGCCCTTATAACCTGGGCCTTTTCAAGGCGAGTGTTTATAGGGATTATCTGGGCAATCATGTTCCATCATCGTCTGCATCGTCACTTAACACCAGGTGAGATTGCGGACAAATGCTTACCCATTTTTTATATACAAAAAAACACTTACTATCCTCAGCCCTTATAGCGTCGACAGTGTGCTCCAACACCGGCGAGGCCCACTGGTACACTTGGTACGGCGTGGCGACTCTCTCAAACGGGTGTTTCTGCATTCTTCGCTTCTGCACCATTGCGAAGTTGCTTTAGAAACCTGATGATTGTTAGCTTCTTGGTACTTACTGTCCTCAGCCCTTATAGCGTCGACAGTGTGCTCCAGCACCGGCGAGGCCCACTGGTACACTTGGTACGGCGTAGCGACTCTCTCGAACGGGTGTTTCTGCATCCTTCGCTTCTGCACCATTGCGAAGTTACTTCTAAAACCTGATGATGCTACTTCATACTTCCTTTAGGAACCTGATGATTGTTAGCTTCTTGGTACTTACTGTCCTCAGCCCTTATAGCGTCGACAGTGTGCTCCAGCACCGGCGAGGCCCACTGGTACACTTGGTACGGCGTAGCGACTCTCTCGAACGGATGTTTCTGCATCCTTCGCTTCTGCACCATTGCGAAGTTCCTTCTAAAACCTGATGATGATGATGATGATGATGATGCTACTCCATACTTACTATCCTCAGCCCTTATAGCGTCGACAGTGTGCTCCAACACCGGCGAGGCCCACTGGTACACTTGGTACGGCGTAGCGACTCTCTCAAACGGGTGTTTCTGCATTCTTCGCTTCTGCACCATTGCGAAGTTGCGCTTGAAGGCGGGAGAGATAATGCTTAGTAGCTCGATCAGGGAGTGGCACAGTAGCGGTGGGGTGCACGGACGCGGGTTGAACACTTCTTCGGTGGACCTGGGGAAGTAAATAAAGTTTTATAACGAGTTTTCCTGCAAAACGCGATCACTTGTCATCGACTAGGATTCTCTGTATCGGGGTGTCATGAACACTCAATCAAATCTGATACTAGCGTAATTTTTAAGCTGCTTAAGAGTTAAAAATATCATAGCGATGGTTGGGACTTTGGAGTCTGTAGCTCACAAGACTTTAGAGCAATAGTTTTAAGTTTTGTTTTGTAAGGAATTCGAAACTAAAGAAGGATCATCACATCTTGGCTACCTTTACAAATTGAGTTGAAAAGAAAGTTAGTGTGAAGAATGCCTACTTACTGGTTGAGGTAGAAACCGCGCGGGCAAGCGGTGATGTGGAAGTGGCGTTCCTCAAGCGTCAGCACGTAAAGGGTTCCAACCTGATGTGATCAACACCGCTGTGTGATGCCGGCCTAGAATAGCATCACCCCAATTCTACCCGTGGGTGTCGTAAAAAGCGACTAAGGGATAATTATCCAGGGAATGGGCAGCAGCGTTCTCTGTGAATTAAACATCTTGCACTGCGCTCGCCAATCCGCCTGCCAAGCGTGGTGAGTATGGCAATACTACCCCCCAATACGGGGGAGGCCCATGTCCAGCAGTAGACTTGTGTTGTGGCTGTAAAGGTATGTCTTAGACACTCAATCAAACCCAATACTAGCGTAACTTTCAAGCTGTTTAAGAGTTAAAAAAATATCATAACGATAGTTGAGAGAGACTGTAGCTCACCAGACTTAAAGCAATAGTTTTAGGTTCTGTTTTGTACGGACTTCGAACCTGAAGAAGGATCATCACATCTTGGCTACCTTTTCAAACTTTTTCTTCTTTTCGAGTGGGACATCGAGTCGTCCAACGACCCATTAGACCCTAATGTCAGAGTTGAAAAGGAAGTTGGCATGAAGAATTCCGACTTACTGGTTGAGGTAGAAACCGCGCGGGCAAGCGGTGATGTGGAAGTGGCGTTCCTCAAGCGTCAGCACGTGAAGGTATAAAAGGTCGCCGCACATCTTGCGCGCGCCGGGAGGAGGGTTCCAACCTGATGTGGTCAGCACCTGCGAAAAATACAAATTGTTGATTACCTTACTTTCGTCTGAAATTGAAAAATTGTCACGCATAAACCTGGGCCCGGACTTTCATCTACGAAATCAAGAAGGAGACCCAAAATGGCAACATTATTGTTGACATCTTGCTCAAATGTCAATTGCTCAATATTGCCATTTCGGGTCCCTGTCTTCTATGAATCAGGTAATACAATGGCATAGCGCCTCATTGTACGACTACACTAAGTGATAAATCTATCCAGGGAATGTGCAGCAGCGTTCCGTATGAATGTAAAATTTTACACAGCTTGCCAAGCGTGGTAAGGCCCACCGGCTATGCATATGATGGTGATGATTTCATATAGGTACTGCCATGTCATTATTATCCATTTATGTTATGAATAAACAAAGCGTTCAATAAAATTACTCTACGGACAGAGGCCGAAATGTATCGGTCATCATGACATAGCAATATCTTAGAAGCGACATGGAATAAAGTAGGTAATTTAAAAATTGTATTTTATATCCTGTATTGCAGTGTTTTTCAAACTTTTTGAATACGCGACCCCCTTCTAGGCCAAAAATCTATGGCGACCCCTGTTGGGTCATCATAGAAACATAAAATAAATAATTTCATTTATTCAATGGCGGATACGGAAAAACTACAAGCGTTGTGCGCATTCTTAGGATATTTTTCTGGGTAGGCTGAAATTTTCAGGCAAAAACCAGCCACAGCGAGCCGGAAATATAGCGAGCGAAGCGAGCGAGAATTTTTACACTAAAAACAAGTGTAAAAGCTTGAAAGTTAGTGAAAAACAGGCTGAAAAATACACGTATCGCGAGCTTTTCACGTTACAATCAAGTCAGAAGTATTAATACTAGCCGTGATTGTAGAACAGGCAGAAAGGTGCACGTATCGCGAGCGAAGCGAGCTTGACTTTTCACGCTACAAACAGGTAAAAACGTATACAACACTGCATACTGCATAAAATAGCAGTACGTTTTGAAAGTTTTGAAAAATAAACATGCCCATTCTTTGTCACTAAAATTGTATTTTACTGAATTTTATCCACCTGTGGTTCTGCTTTTACTCTTAGCTTTTGCCGGCGACCCCCCTAGGAAGGCTCCGCGACCCCCCTGGGGGTCGCGACCCACAGTTTGAAAAACACTGCTGTATTGCATTGCACATTTGTTTTATAGCTGTATTGAAATTGAAGTAATAGGAGGCCGTATTTCTTTTTTTCTTTATCTAAATGACGTGATCAGCCAATATTGACTTTAATCACGATAACTGTACAAGTTTAACTAAGAAAATATTTAAGGAGACATAAAAAACATTGTTGACTTGCCATAGCAAATGTAGTCAGCTGATCGTGATTTTGTTGGGAGGTATTCAGTATTCGAAGAACCCTTACACCCCATATTTTAAGTATATGCCCCTATGCCCTACAAACACACTTCACGCTTTTATATCTTGCGGGGTAAGCAGTAAAATAACCACCGTTATCGTCATGTCTGAATCTAACAGATTATTATGATTATGAACTTTATTTATTTTTTACTGTTAGTACAGGAATAATATTGATTCCTATTCATATTTTAGCTAAATAAACGGTGATGTGATGATTTCAACCGTTAGGCGTCTGCGAAACAAACAGGTAGGTATATTTGCATAATAATACCAGTAATGACTTCTAACATACTAACCGACAATCGGAATGAGTCATGAACTTGAAGGAGTTTTTGTATATTATGTCATCGTAAGATTATCCAGTATTACGTTGATATTTTTGATGATTAATTGAACTTTAATCGCTCTGAAATAAGGCTCACAAATGAACTTTGATTCGTTGTTAAGAACTATTTGCAAATTACAATGC